TACGATCCCGCTCGCGGGATCCATGTCGGGTAGAGACAGGTATCTATCCCAGTACAACGGAAGTTGGTCGCGCAATTTCGTGGATTGGTTGAAGTTAGACATTAACACCGTTGGATGCCGGCTCAGTGGTCTGATGGTTAAGTGCTCGCGCGCGAAGCCAGTAGGTCCTGGGTTCGAGCCCCGGGTGGTGCGGGATCGTGGATGCGCACTGCTGAGGAGTCCCATACTAGGACGAAACGGCCGTCCAGTGCTTCCAGGTTTTCAATGGTGGTCTAGCTTCAACTGACTCATGAGTTCAATCTGTGAAAAATAATTTTTTTGTCAACTATATAATATCAGTTGAATAAACAATGAAAATTTCAACAACAACAACAAAAACAAAAATCATAAAATGTTTGTAATTTTTCATTGTTCATTAGTGATATTAAAAAAACTTAACGCAAATGACTATTAAGAAAGTGATAATGATATGATTCAGTAAGTGAATGAATTTTTGTTTTATTATGATGTGTTCAATCTACTGTTGTTAGTTAGTACATTGGTTTCATAAATGAAACGATTGATTAATAACTGATAAATTCGATTTAATTTTTATTTTAACCTGTTACTATACGTTGACAATATTTTGTAAATTATAATTGTAACTATCTATGTGTGCTCGTTGAATACAACAATTTTTTCTGTTATATATAAACAGGGTGATATTCATATTTGTATAGAACTAAATATTAAACAAGATTTATCTATTTGAACATAAAACCATTCCCCCCCCCAATATTTTCTTCTATTAAACATCAATAGAGTTACTTATATGAACTACAAAAATGTAGAGATTTATATTAAACTTGAAAATACCAACTGATATATTTGATGGCAAATACACTAACAAAATTATTTCAGTATTAAAAAAAATTCATGGAGACAAACTATAAAATTCACTTAAATAATCAGTTTTAATTAATAAATGGATTAGATTAATAATGTTTCAATAATTAATGATTTAAGAGCAAAAATATTATAATCTCAAATCTTTCTTGTTTTTCAATATAAGCCATAAATCGATTAAGGATTTAATTAAATTCTTTTGGAAATTTCAATCCAAATAAACATCAATAATTAGGTTAGTAATATGTGAAAAAATCAATAAAATGATTTAAACAATACCATTTAACAGATATTGTCATATTAACAAGTATAGATTATTTTATCAAAACTCACATCATAAATATTTGATGAATAACTTAGAGTTCAGATATACAAAATTGGACATGATTAAGCAATAAATGAATAAAAACCTCATTACTAGTATAGGGGTTGTGGAGATTATTAACTTTTTGATTGAGATCATGAACCGATTGATGTTAGACCACCATTGAAAACCTAGAATCACTGAACGGCCACTTAGTCCTATTGTGGGACTCCTCAGCAGTGCACATTCACGATCCCGCTCGCCGGATTCGAACCCAGGGCCTTCAGTCTCGCGCGCGAACGCTTAACCAACTGGACCACTGAGCCGGCATCCAATGGTGATAGTGCCTAACATCAATCAATCCACGAAATTGCGCGACCAACTTCCGTTGTACTGGGATAGATACCTGTCTCTACCCGACATGGATCCCGCGAGCGGGATCGTGGATGAGCACTGCTGAGGAGTCCCACAATAAGACGAAACGGCCGTCCAGCGCTTCTAGGTTCTCAAAAGTGGTCTAACATCAATCGGTTCATGATCTCAATAAAAAAACCTCATTATAGAATACATTTTATGCATATAAGAATTTGTCAGTTTATACTTTTGATTAATCTAATGTACTTGAATGCCCTGGTACGTTTAAGGGTGGAGAGAGTGTACTCTCCTTTTTGAAAAGTTCTCACACGGCCAACAAACATTTCTTTGATGTTTATTTAAACAAAATTTTTCTTATTCTGTTGAAACGATAGGAATACGCATTGAAGCATCAGTTAACACAGTAAATATCAAATGAGAATCAAAATGATTTACTCAGAAGTGTTACTTTTAAAGCAGACTAAGTCCTTTTTTATTACTAATTCAATTAAATAAATAAATCAACTCCCAGTAAGTAGTCTTTACCACGATTTAAGTTTGTTTAATCAGTGACAAAACATATATTGTCATACAATTATATAAAATAGAGATAAATTAAGTTGCTAGTATATTCTTCCCTAAAAAAACTGAATGTGTGACTACATTTAGTAACAAATAATAATATTAATTAATTACAGGGAGTAGAATCAGTTCCTCTAAAAGTGAATATTTGTTATGTTAAATGATACCAACTAGGTTAAGGCCCACACTTAAAGCTTCAAAATATTTATTATACTGCAAAGCTTTGAATATTTAAATTTGACCAAATAAATAACAGTAAACAGATATCATCTGTGATAATCGTGAATCGACTCAAGTTAGAAGTGTAAAACAGTGGATTTTAATTAAGTGATTTACATGTGTTATTGTAATGGCTTTGCTTCATTAATCTATCACCCTTGTAACCGTTATTACATAAACATCAATGGTGTTTAAAATCAGAAGGCAATGAGAAGCGGCGAATAAAGTTTGTTAGCGGATAGTGTAGATCACAAAGCTATAAGCACATCGAGCGAATTTGAAGCAGAGAGGCGAATATGTATGCGATCAAAGATAGAGACAAGTTTATAGTCAGATCGCATAAGGGGACAGCAAAGGCTAATAATAGGATTTAAGTACATATATATATGAGGGAGGATGAATCGTCGAGTGATATTTAAGCAATCAACATTTTAGCTAGTGGCCGTAATGGTACAAAGAAATATGCGAATTTTTATTATTCTAATGACATTTCCTGTCAAGTAAGTTAGTAAAAATGCTTGATCAAAACTAACCATGATCGAAATTGGTTATAAGATAGTTGCTATATCGTGATTACAGTAGGAATTGAAAATCTTAATTTTACTTTCGTGTATTTATCAGGAAAACGAAGTTCTATGAAGTCTTAGAACACCACGAAACAATTATTCACTACGCTTTATTCTGTAATAGTCTATGAGTACAATAATTATTTTATCTAAAGGAAGTTAGGTTATCCCCATTAGAAAACAATAAAACCTCATGACTAGAGTTATATGAATTACTTCGCAACCGTTTACAAACACTTTCTTCTAGATAGACATTCTTTCATCAATAATTGTTATTTTAAAGATCATAAAGGTATATTCATTAATAATTCCGTCCATTTTCCAAATTAAAAATTTATTGATGTACCACACCTGTTTTTTAAATATTCATTTAGTATTGAACTAGATTTTGGAGAGAAAAAGCCAAAATTGGGCTTCATAGAACCTAGAAAAGTGTAGCGTTGTATGCCATCCATGAATACAATCAAAAGGGGGTGTTGCGGAGATTTTAGTAATTTTATATTTGAATTCATGAGTCATTTGAAGCTAGACCACCATGGAAAATTTGGAAGCACTGGGCGGTCGTTTCGTCCTAGTATGGTAGACGCTAGACATTAACACCGTTAGATGCCGGCGGGCTCAGTGGTTCAGAGGTTAAGCGGCCGCACAAAAGACTGACAGGTTCTTGCTCCAAATCTCGCGGGGCGGGATCGTGGATGCGCACTGATGAAAAGTTCCACACTAGGACAAATCGGCCGTTCAGTGCTTCCAGGTTTTCCATGGTGGTCTAGTTTCAATTGACTCATGAATTCAACTATTACATATATATATATATATATATATATATATATATATATATATTTCAATTCACCTTGACCTTCAACAGTGAAATAAAACGAACTTTATCATTAAAAGGACTAAGTTAAGGTTATCAAAACCAATTGACTTATATGATGAAATGAAAATACTGATATGAAATAGAGTAGGATTGATTTCAGATTCTTAAACTTAAAGTGGTTTAAAACCTTAAAAATAGTGGTCAAACATTTTAAACGTTTCAGGTATTCAATAGAAAATAAATATGAGATGGTTTGGATTGTAGACCACTGGACTAATTTGAAATTATTATCTCATCAAGTTATGATGAATAATGATGATTATTTGAAATACATTTTGAGAATAAAGTGAATTAATGAAACTACTTTGAGAATAATTGATGAAACATGTTCTGAGTTAATGAAATCTACTTATTAAGAAAGCTCAAATTGATATGACTACACGCTGATAATATAACAGAGTATTTCTGAAATCATTTCAGAGTTCAGAATATCTACCATTATCAGTCTGCTTAATTTACTTTCAGTCCATTCAGATTAAATGAATGTAACAGAAGGAAAATAGTTAAACATTTCCTTAGATCTCATTTATCTAACGCGAACCTATAACCGTGATTTTGAGACACATTATATTTGAGAGCTATTAAAACTCTACGGCTGTCCAAGCCTAAGTAGATGAAACGGACTGTGAACTTATGACTTCATAGTTGAAAGCCACCGCTTCACACAAAAAGATATCGGAGTTCGTATGATTTCCTTATATACAAGGAAAACTGATCGTCTACGGAAAATCACAATTATTTGTCGACAATGTAGTGCCTATTATCAGGTTAATAATTGGTTAGAACAAGTTTTTAATGTCTTCAGTAGGACTACATCTTACAGTCAAATTTATTAGTCAGTTAGACATGAAGTTATTGGGAAACCAGAGGCGGAGGAAACATATTTCCGCAATTTCACATCTGTATTTTTTCAGCAATTCATACCCTTAGCTTACGCCCAACAAGCATGGCGTAAATTTATTGACAACAGCTTCTGATATTTTACCAAAACACTATTAAAAATATTCACGTGAAGAAACTGCTAATACGACTTTTGAGTCGGATTGTATAAAAAACGAACTTACATTCATTTATTTAAGTTATCACACTATATCATCGAGTGTATTTATATGATCTTAATACGGGTATTGCAGCGAAACGCACGAATTGACAAAAAATACACTGTTGTCCCGTGTTAACTTATCTAAGCTGAGGGAACATCAAAAGACCAACTAACATGTATAAAATTATTATTTATCAACGTTTTATAATTTCAACTGATTGATCTAACACCACCACGATGTAATAGCATAAAATTGAAATCTAATACGGAAAAGTTTCTGCATTATCTATCGGCAACCAGAAATACCGATTTCAACTTTTGACACATTCAATCGACAGACAATCCTAGATTTGTACTCTGTAGATATTGAATCCAGACTCATTTTATTCCACATATTATATACAATATTTCTTATTAGAAAATATTGCACACATATCCGTTTTCCTAATATTTCTCAAAACTTCTCGACTAGATTTTACTCGTACGATTCCCTTGCGTACAGTAGAGATGAATTTACTAAATAATATAAGAGTAATAAATATCTGTTTATTATAAATGCTAAGATATATGCATGTTATTTATGTTGGTCATATTATGGTCCTTTCTTTATCAACTGTAAATTTTCCCTCCCAAATAGGCATACAATGAAAACAAGAAACGACGAATCACATTTAAAGTGAATTCCATCTTTATGGTTATAATAGTAGTAATAAGAATAATAGTTGTATAAGTAACGAAGATACTGATAGGAGTAATAATAATGAAGAATATATTCCTGTGAATATTTATGGCGACGATAATAATAGTAACAATAACGATTCTAAAAACTAATATTTGTGTTTCTTTACTTAAATAATATAGTGAGGTTGGATAGAAAAAAAAACAGAAATTAAAAAAAAGAAAGGAAACACAAATACATAATTTAAATACTACAACATAACATAGATAAATTCCAACGATAATGAAATACCAGTTGACAAAAATTCAAACCTCAACAACGAAAATAATAACAATCACGAGAGGACAGTTGACAGTAGATGAATGCGAATTCAAAGATCTCTTCATTTATATTACCCAACACGCACTATAAAAATGTGACGCAAGGCTAAATGATCTTCATACCCATACTTATTTAGGTTATACCAGCAGGAGAACAAGAGAGTTATATATATATGCGCGCCAAGTAACGAATGAAAAACGAAGTCTTATTAAGTTACAAATAAGTAAGTTTAGATGAACTAATTACAAATGATTTATCACTATTATCGACTAAAAGATGAATAACTTGGGGTACTGCACACACAAAAGGGAACACAACTATGAAAATGACGAATTGTATAGTGTAAATAAATTTAAAGAAAACTCTAGAACAGGAAAAACACGGAAAAAAACATTATTGTTATAATGAGGATGATGAAAAGACATTGTCAACAACTTTTGACAATACTGGATTTATTGTTATCTATTAAAGAAAAGAACAGAGAGAAACAACATTCCAACAACAGAAACAAGAAAGGACCAACAACATATACACAATAAACGCAGTTATATATAAAACATGAAGGAAGAAAATAGTAGTCTAAGAATGATGGGGAACTACAGTTGTATAGTGAAACAATAACAGTTATAATTATTAACATGTGTAAGATATGAGAAAACAGTATAGTAGAGAAATACTTATTATCCTACATGTAAATGTACATTACATATACGTAAAACCGCATGTGTATATATACCTATGGAAACTACAGTGATAACAGAATAGAATTGATTCTTTTAGAAAATAAACGCTTCTCATAAAAAAATATGCATAAAATATCCATGAGTAATAATAGTAATCATGGTAATAATGATAATAATAATAATGTGATAATATGTGACATTATCGATGAATTAATTATAACTATCCAATTAGAAAAGTGGAGTAAAACTGAAAGGACATTTGAATCGAGCTAATAGATGTATTTTAAAAAAGTGGATATCAGCTGTGTTTATATTCATATAAATGATATGAATAAAATGAACGGAAAATTATTTTCAGAGAAAAAATATGTTTATCACATATTGTGCGGATTAACTCATCATGGAAAAAAATGCAGAAAAATTGAATAATGAAATCAACTTCATGCATAGTGAATTCTCGAAATATTTTGAGCACCTTGATCAACAACAATAACATCTCTACAATTTGATAAGGTAACTAAACCAGCCAATCGTCGAAATGACGGATCAACTTCAATTAAGTATGGTTTAAAAAGGTATCTACTTCTATTTAAAGGACAAAAAATTGCACAAGTATGTGTTTGAAAGCATGGATCTACTACAGAGAAACGGTTGTTATTGTTACCACTACTACTAGGAACATTAGTGGTAGTGGGAGAGTTAGTGGTATTACACACAGTGTCATTATTATTACTGTTAGTAATTATGCTAGAAGATACTGTATTGTCATCTGCTTCGTGAACGCATTGTCGACAACTGGAAGTCCACAATGTTTCCGGCCAAACGACAACACCAGAACGTTGTCTATCTGAATAAGTTGCTAGGATACATTTTCCTAGTTTATCGGTTTGAATATTAGCAGACCCAGTTGGTGCAGTACTGAATGACACACCGCCGAATTGACCACGTGATGGAGGAATCCGTGACTTTGAAGGACCACTTGAATGGCGGATTTCAGATAAACTTAAACGACCAGCATTCATATATTCCGAATTTGGATTGTCATATGAATTATTCAAAACATTAAAATAAGAAGTATCCAACGAAGTTCTTGACGGTAATGTTGAGATACGAACACGCAAATGATCATCACCTGGTTGATTTGGAGGTAACAGATCAGAAAGAAAATGTCCATCTGATGAAAATATCTAAATTAAAATGAGGACAAAAGCATTATTTAATACATCCAAAAATAATTTACAATATTTTTTCAACAAGTTAAGCTTTAAAATGAGGAAGATATTGATATCACATTACACAAATAACTTACATACTATACAACCAACTACATGGAAAAACAATACTGGAGAAATCGAGTCAAGAAATCGTATAAACAAATATAACTAAGAGTAGTGAAAGTGAACAACAATGATGAAGTATTAAGGTGATCACGGGGTTATCCGGCTTTTGTTTCTAATGTTAAAATCTTACCGGTGTAGTAAACGAGAACACAAGTGGGGATAATGGAATGTATTTGAACATAAAATTACAGAACATCTTAGTAAAATCTGAGAACCATACAGTGAATACTTGATTTGCAAAATGTTAATCAATTGTCTCAAGCTTAACTGTTCCTTTTGCAAATATCAGTCAATCATCTCAGACTTCATTGTTCCTGGATTTCCATACCAATTACTTTCTCTCCATGTTTTTTCCTCCTCGATCTTCTTGACCTTCTGCTGCCAGACATCCTATTCCTGACTAGCGTTATATATTACTTATGTCGATATAAATAGCACACACCACACTAGTGACGGTAACCTCGAATGCTTTTTTTCTAATTTAGTTTGTCGCATGACCTATGAACTTTTCTGACTGATTGCCACTAATTTTATTTCGCTGACTTTCTGAATGCCTGAAGGTCATGCTTTTGTTTACAAGGTGAATTGTATTACTTTAAGTTATTCTGCTTGAATAGTAATTTTTCCTATATCCCGTCTTTTTCTTATGTTTCCAGCCAATTGTTTAATTGTGTGTCAGCTGCCATTTTCCAGTCCCAAGGACAACCGTTCGTATTAGGATAGCTTAGTCGTTCCTTAATTCTCAAGTATCTTAGACCAACCATGAACCCCAATATACCTGACCGTCTTACCAAGATTTAATACGTACGTGATTTGAGGTAGCTACATTACATTGCACTAATTCTAAACTATGGAGTCTGACTACTAGTGTTCGAGTAAAGATTTTTAAAAACCCTCGACAATGTGATCCAATGAATAGGCACCTATTTCGGTTCATGACAAAGACTGTAAATCTCTTGCTATGTAGATTCAAATGTCGTCTTCAAGTACAGTAATCCAATAACACTCAAGTATCAATATCTTTGCTCTCAGGAACGTGATGAAAGATAAATTTTCTATTACCTGTGTCTTTAGAATATTGTTGATGCCAGAATAACAAAAATACCAAAATTCTACAACCCTATCTAGAATTGTTATTAACAACCGGTAAAGGCAGTCAGTTAGTTACGTGTTTCTATTATTCTACCACAAGATTGATCGTAAAAATTATGATTATTGCAAACCTTTAATGATTAATGTTGGAAGTCTGGTGAGTTGAAAGTTTGTATTTTAAAGCAGTCCTATAGTCAAAAGTTAAGGTAAAAAAAAATCCACTTTTGTACGTAAATCATGTAAATTAGGATGGATGATTAAAGTATTATCAGTTTAATTAGAACTGTCTTCATAATAGATGAAAAATAGCATGATAAAATTATTTCTTAAAATATTATTCATTTACTTATAATATGCACAATTGGTAAACTTGGGATGCAAAAAAAAAACCAAGCAGAAGGGTAGAGAGAATACGACTAAAGTAACCAGAAAAAGGGAAGGAGGCGAAACAATTCGTCTATTAGAAGAAAAAAATGCCTAAATAATTGTCTGTTACATTTGTACTAGAAAGGCAAAAATCACACTATAACTTCAATGATGAACTGAGTTATATGATATTCTGGTTGCTAAAAGAGAAATGATGTACCAGTAGAAATGAAACGTAATCTGATTTCATAGTGAACTAACACAACTAGTTTGAGAGACGAATGATTAGAAACTAAGCGTTATCTTAATCAACGATTTATATATGAAGTAGAAAGTTCCTTAGCAGAAAATATTAAATGAACGATAGAATTCAATAAGAATTAAGGATTAAGCATAATATTGCCTACAGAATAATAATCATTTAGTTTAAATATCATAGTCTAAGTTAGTATGTCTGAATAATCTAGTGTTAACTTTACTATCTGTGACACAGATCCGAATTTCACAGGGAAAGTCACTATCTCAATATTCCAGATACATCTTGTTGAAAGGATGCTAAATCGTATCTTAACCTATCAGTAAATAGTAACATAATTTCAGATTATAAAGACTAGAAAGAAAACACTACAAAGACGATACAACAAAATGTTGACTAATACTATTAAACCACTGAATAATAATTTTACTCTAGTTATTGTCAGTCAGTAACAACGTAGAACTTCGTACGTACGTACATCAGTTCGAGTTGCCACACCACATTAGCACAGAGATGCACTTGTCGATTCAAATTCCGTAGTGCTAGATGTAGTAAAATTATAAGCTGTAATCAGAAAAATTAGGGTTTGAAGATGTTATTTGAGGAGTATAATCCAGAAGATTAGAATTTAGGAGAACACAAAGAGTGGATGCACCTGCGCCATTGCAAACGATTTTGAGCCATGTCATTCAGGGTCTCTAACCGTCGGTTGCTGTCATCTCGCGGTCCCCAACCAGGTAGTCTACACCTACCAATATGACTCAGTCCACTTGTCAGTAATTTCATGGATTTGTGCCACGTTTTGGTCAGGCCGCCCCAAGCTTTCTTCCAATCTACTTCTATACAACAAAACATTGCACTTCGAGGCAGTCGGTCGTTGGGCATACGTAACACGTGTCCCAGCCATCTCAACTGATGAAGTTTCACTACTTCATCAATTGATTTGCCATCCTTACCTAGTACCCGCTTCCTAACAACTGCGTTACTTACTCGATGGTCCCAGGATATACGAGCAATATTTCGAAGACACCTATGATCAAATACTAGTAACCTACGAATATCCTCTACTTTTACCGGCTATGTTTCGCTGCCATAATGTAGGACGGAACGAACTGCTGCGCAGTAAACATGTCCTTTGGTTGATAGAAGGATATCTCGTCTACTCCACAAATGACGCAAATTGGTAAAAGCTAGTCGAGCCTTCTGTATCCGTGCCTTCTCGTGGCGCGGGTGTTGTTTACGAAAATGAGAGGACGAAAAGCGAATGTCCAGAGCTTTAACCGGATCACAAACCAATGGTGCACATGGGCTCCAGTATCCTGAAGGAACAAATGGCGTATGACCCAACCGTTGGTCACCGGCTACCATGGGACTGCATCTCCTTACGATGCTCCACTGCCTTGTGTGTTAGACCTTTAGGTCAAAGGCTCTGGGTGTGGCCCCCTAAGGAAACCACCTGCTTCAGTTTGGGCACCCGGGGAGTATCGCAGCCCACACGCAAATAATGAACTCTCTATATCTATGGAAACTACTTTTCTCGCTTCGAATAACAATCAAATGACTATTATTACTGTTATTATTATTATTATTATTATTATTATTATTATTATTATTATTATTATTATTATTATTATTATTTACCACATTATTCACCCTCTTTTATGCTTATACAGAGGCTCGTCTTTGGTGGAAATTCGACTGCATCTAAACGTTCTCGAGTCACTGTCCGGTTGAAAATTGTATGTTACCACTGAATATGAGTACTGAAGCAGTTTTTCTGAAACCACGTGCAACATTCAAACTGGCTGCCTTCAACGTTCGGTGGACAATGAAGTGACCGCCATCAACGGATTGATATTAGCAAGTTGGTTGCAACTTCTGTTGCTAGTAAATATCGAACCGAGCTAGTTTCTAGGCTAGCTACCATTCCACCGAAAAGTATAGATGAGCATTGGTTGCAATTGCATGACGCCATGTAAATGGCGGGTACAGTCAGTTGTGGGTTTGCGAAACGTCCCGCTTATAAGCACTGGGTTTCTTCAGGCTCCTTACAACTCATCGAAGCCCGTCGGTCTACTCCGGGTGACCGTGAGTTTGATCACAAACGAAGGATGTTACGTAAGGAAATTGGGCAAAGCTTGCGTAAGGACCGAGAAGCCTGGTGGTCGAAGCGTGCTAATGAGTTGGAAGCAGCAGATGCATCTGGTAATTGCCGAAAGCTCTTCCAACTCATCCGAGCCACTGGCAGCAAGAAGTCTGGTGTGAGTGAAACAATCTGCGAGGATGATGGGATACCAATCACTAACATCCATCGACGTCTTGGACGATGAGCAGAATTCTTCGAAGGGCAGTTTAACTGGCCTGCTGCTCCGGCAACATCGGTCAGACTGTCCTGCCCTCCATGGCCGGTGACGACTGATCCACCAAATGAGGCGGAAGTCCGCAAGGAACTCCAACTCTTGAAGCGTTACAAATCACCTGGCCCAGATGACTTACCTCCGGCTCTTTTTAAAGATGGTGGTGACTTTCTGACTAGGGAATTGACGACGTTGTTTACAAAGGTTTGGGAACTAGAGAGTGTACCAACGTCATGGAATGAGTCGATAGTTGTCCCTATCTTTAAAAAGGGTTCACGTCGTTCCTGTAACAACTATCGGGGGATAAGTCTACTTCCGATTGCGTCCAAGCTATTGGCTTCCGTCATATTTCTTAGGTTGTTCAAAACCCGAGAAAGATTGACTCGCGAGGAGCAGGCTGGGTTTCGTTCTGGTCGAGGATGTATTGATCATATCTTCACCCTCCGCCAAATGTTAGAACACCGCCATACTTATCACAGGCCAACAATCGTAGTGTTTCTAGACATCAGGGCTGCCTTCGATTCGTTGGACAGGACTGTTCTCTGGGATTGTCTATTGAAGAAGGGTGTGCCTGAGAAGTTTATTAACATCCTAAAAGCCTTATATACAAACACCTCAGGCAGAGTGAGGGCATACAACCACCTCTCTCCATTGTTCTATTCGAGCAGTGGGGTTAGGCAGGGTTGCCCAATCTCACCATTCCTCTTCAACTTTGCCATCGATGACATTCTGGAAACAGCTCTGATGAATGTAAGTAATGGTGGTGTGGATCTGTTGCCTGGAGAAAGACTTCTCGACCTTGAGTATGCGGATGATATTGTCTTGCTGTGCGATAATGCCCAAGTCATGCAATCCACACTTCATCAGTTGGCAATCAGTGTCCGTAGGTATGGTATGTGCTTTGCACATTCAAGTGCAAAGTACTTCTACAAGACTGGCAGGATTCAAATCCTGTACTCACCCTGGATGGTGAGCAGATAGAAGTAGTCGAGAAGTTCGTGTATCTGGGTAGCTGCATAAGTGCTGGTGGGGGTGTGAGTGATGAGATCAATGCACGTATAGTGAAAGCCAGAGCGGCTTATGCCAATCTGGGCCACCTTTGGCGCCTTCGTGATGTTAGTCTGGCTGTAAAAGGTCGGATCTACAACGCGTCGGTGAGAGCAGTTTTGCTCTATGCTTGTGAAACCCGGCCTCTCTGAGTTGAGGACGTTAGACGACTCTCTGTGTTCGATCATCGCTGTCTCCGAAGGATTGCTGACATTCAGTGGCAACACCATGTCAGTAATGCAGAGGTTCGGCATAGTGTGTTCGGGCACAGAGATGATAATTCAATTGGTGTCACCATCTTGAAACGCCGACTTCGGTGGCTTGGACATGTTCTACGAATGTCGTCCCGCAGAATTCCACGTCGTGCATTATTTGCCGACTCTGGGACTGGTTGGAAGAAGCGGAGAGGTGGTCAGTGCATGACATGGTGTTGTGGTATGGAAGAAAGCTGCAAAGGACTGGCTTGTGTCGGTCCTTCACGACTCCCTGGTTGGGGTCCGAGAGATGGTGCTACACAGTGGCTAGAGACGTTATCAGATATGGCTCAGAATAGAAGCCAGTGGTGATCCTGTTGTAACCTTCTTTTACTTTCTTCATAAAAAGTGGTTGTGTCTTCCTTACCTGAAAGATTTTTTCTGATTGTACCTTTCCGTTCCCTCATTATTACTATTATTATTACTACACTACCTTACACCAACCTCTTCGTTATTGTTCCTTTTTTTTCACGCTACTTATCATTCTTTTTCTCTTCAAGTTCTCATTGTTTTGTGTGGCGCATATATATTTGCGCTCTCTTGTACCAATATTTATGTGTTCAAATAAACAAATAAATAAATAATCCGTGCTGAGATTTTGTCACACACCAAACCACAAGGGCTGATGAGACTTCCAAGATAAGTGAAGCGATCGACACACTCAACTACTTCACTCCCTATCATTAGTTAGGGTGTCAATGCAACCCAATCCTGAAGCAACATTTTGCATTTCGAGGGAGAGAATCGCATCCCGAACATGCTTGCATTGTTGCTTAGAGTGGTCAGAAGACTCTGCATTTTGTCAGCGTCTTCACCAAATAAAACTATGTCATCTGCATATTCTAAGTCAACAAGTGAACCTCCTGGTAGAAGTTCAACCCTTGAAAATCTAGACGAGGAAAGTGTTATCTCTAAAATTACGTCGACGACAAAGTCGAACAAGAATAGAGAGAGTGAACAGCCCTGACGAACACCACTTGAGGTAATCAATTCTGATGACAGTTCGCCATAAGCTCTCACTCTACCAGTTTTGTTCGAGTAGAGGGCCTGTATAAAATTAATGCACTTCTTTGGTACTCCTTTCAGTGACAAACACTGCCATAGAACCTCACGTTCAACAGAGTCGAATGCCGCCTTAAGGTCGAGAAATACTACCATTGTGGGGCGTCTGAACGTATGTCTGTGTTCTAGGACCTAACGTAGTGTGAATATCTGGTCTGTACAGCCATGCCCAGGTCGAAAACTAACCTGGTTTTCTCTAGTCTGCTCTTCACGAGCTTTAGTTAGGCGTCGAAGTATTATTGAGGCTAATATTTTAGACACTATATTAGTCAAACTGATTCCTCTGTGATTGTCACAAGAGGACTTTTGTCCTTTCTTAAAAACTGGCACAATCAGTGATTGACACCAGTCAGATGGGATTACGTCCAGTTCCCAAATTCTACCTAAGACCTCAGTTAATCTCATTGCTAATACTGGACCACCATCCTTAAAAATCTCAGGAGTAAACCTGTCAGGGCCTGCTGCTCTCCCTTGCTTAAGATTTCCTATGGCTTTTTCAACTTCGTAATGACACGGAGGACCTACATTAACTTGCCATTCAGGTTGACTGGAGATCGTGGGAAACCGAAGTGTGGCTGAAGGCCAGTTGAACTGATCCCTAAAGTGTTCTGCACATCTATTCAATCTCCTGGATTGAGAATGTATAATATGTCCGTCTTTTTGAGATTGTTTCGATAACAGTTGGGTTCCTGATTCCGGTTTCCTTAACGAGTCTGAACAATTGTCTGCTATTACCTATTGCCGCTGCCTTTTCCATCTCTTGCTTTCGCTACCCACCACTGTTCACGATCATTGTGTAGGCTTCTTGTCAGCTTGTGCTTATGTTCAGAGCCAGGTGGAATGAGTTTCCGAGCATATATCAGTGCGACAGATGCTGCTGAGATCCAGTGTTTCTCCCTAACCTTGTGGTTCACCTTACTAGCAGATATCACTGCTGTTTCCACAGCTTTTCTGATATCGTTCCATGCTGCCTCGGGGTGGGCATCACATACATGGCTGCCTAACCGTTTACCTAGTTGTTCCTGAAATATACTCTTAGTTTGACTATCATTGAGCAGGCCCCTAATAGGTTTCCTTGTAGCGTCTTTCCTACGTCCAGTAAGACGCAGACAGATACGCGCTCGCACTAGAGCATGATCTGAATCTAAGCATGTGCTCCAGAATGAGCGACAGTCTTCTATCGAGCCCCTCCATCGGTGGCTGATAGCGATGCGATCTATTTAGGTCCGACGTTGGGATGAATTAGGGGGTCACCATGTTAAAAGTTGTTTTTCCTTATGCTTAAAGTTAGTATTTGCAAGGAACAGGCGGTTATCTGAGCATAGCTGCAACAGACGGTCACCATTATCTGTTCTTTGAGCCACGACACCATAAGATCCACCCAGGTATCTTTCCCTATCGCTTAGTTTACCTACTTGAGCATTAAAGTCACTGGCCACTATTACATCCGAGCGCCTAGCTTTTCGGAGAAGGTCGGAGAGCACACACCGATGGCGCGGGATTCTAAAGCCCTAGCTAAGGAAGCCTGCTGTCCTATTTGGCACAGTGTTCGGACGTTAAAAGCTCCTACGTGTAGTTTAAAACGTGGTTTCAAGAGACCAGGAATAGCGTTCCGCGTACTCCAATCGTTTGCCCTAGCGGTGAGAGGTGGCAAAGAGACGTGAGAAGGGTTAGTCATGGAGATAAGAGAGGTATTAAGAGGTGCAGGAAGGATTTGAATGTGACCAACTTGGTCTTGTGTGCTGTTACGGGTATGAGGGCTGGTGTCACTTCCCGGCTGCCCACACCGTGGAAGGGTATTTCTTGAGGAACCTGAAAAGGAATTCGGATTAATGTCGGCCTTAACGGCCTGGGAGTGTGACCGCAGAGCCCAAAGGACAACTGCTTGAGGCCGGTCGCGCACGGCCATTTCGTGGAAGGTTTTTAATGTGTTAGCTCCGTTCTTCAAAGGGCCTTACCGTCGGAGACGGAAATCCGTGAGGTAAGGTGGTGTGACATTTTTAAGGTCAGCCTTTTCTAACCCCTTCCTTCATCTGCAGCATCGCTGCAGATGCTGGTTGTCCGAGGGAAACGACTTACTGCTATCACTCCCTTACAGTCAGCAGTACAACTTCGCCCTCAGACCTTGAGTTGCTGCTTTTAGTCTTACCGTTCACCAATCGACCTGCCTGGCATGGTAGAACCAACACAAACATATGTTCCAGCCAATATAGCTCGGTTGGGTCATCACGATAGGCAAGCCCGACCACCGCGTCAAGGTAGCAGCTTCGGTCGGGCTAGTTATTGTATTTACTATAAGATTGACATTTGAAAGATGAATAGAGATCTTTAAAAAAACAGGACTTTTGAATAGATTTAATAAAACGTTAGTTCTGTAGCTATGAGGTTCTAATGTAGAAAGAACTATGTTTAAAGAAAAAACGTCGAGTGATTTGTCAATGAAAACAAATCAAATACCAATGAAATTACGGTAAAACAGAATCATATTCTTTCATACAAGTATGCATATTAAAAAATTTTCTAAAAACAAAACTCACTCGAATACACGTTCCTGTAGACAAAATCAATTCTCCAGAGTCAGCTACACACAATCCTGTGATTAATTTGCAAACTTTAGGTTGAGGCAAATGAGAACTAGCTTCGGTTCGAATTAAAGTACTGTGTCTAGTTGGAGTGCTTGCATCACTATCCGCATAAACGGATGTAGTATTTGTCCCAATAAACACATCCACAGAGCAGGTTTCAGGGTCACAAACAAAAACGCAACCAGCTCCATTATCAGCAATAAATAAACGACTAGTTAAGGGACATCTGGCGATACTAGTTGGCTCCTTGAACAAAGGACTTGACACGGATGAAAGTACCTAAAAGGAGAGGGAAAATCACAAATAAATCGCATTATTAAGCTAAACATTAAAAAAATACCGTTCAATAGTAGAGAGAGATTGAAAAGGGAAAATTGTGGAATCACAGATATAGATAGAGAAAAAAATGAACGTAACTAAGTTATAGCTACTGATTTCAAACTATATCACCCCAGGCCTAGGAACCGTAGATTTTAATTACCACACGGATCCTAATGTGGAGGTCTATATGTACCGTTCCCTGTGCCATTTAAATAGGCCATCAATGAATTGATTGAAGTTATATCCTTATCCGAACTTCCTTAACCTCCCGACCAAATTCAGTGCGAGCCAGTACAGAGCACTGAGGGAAACAGATGCTGAGTATGCGTACCATGTGTTCCAGAAACTTCAAACGGTGAAGGTTTGAAGCGTTTTCAGTCTTTTTTATTTCTACCTAAAACCCTGAATATACATAATATTACTTAATTAGTGATTCTAATAATGCCACGAATATATTTACAACTAAATGCCTGGAAATTACCAATACATATACTGAATGTCACATAGCTTTGCATTTATGAGGTGATTGAAGGCGATCAGTAAGAAATTCTGAACCCGGGTTTCGTCTAACCTGGTATTCGTTAAGAGTCACCATTAATCTTGGGTGAATTGGTATTTCCATTCAGATCCGAACCCTGATCAGTAAGTATTATAGGGTAAATATCTTAGTCTTACAGGAGGTCAACCACGACCCAAAAAGCCCCAGATTGTTTGTAATCGGGGTTAGAATACTATAGAGAATATCAGTTCTTCTAAGATCCCAGATGCCTTTTACTGACAAGTGCTAACTAGAACAAAAGCTAGGTTAGTAGTATCCTGCTGACTGTTTCTAACTACAGAAAGTTAAAAACATAGAACCTGCATACCCAGTCTTTTAGACTGGCGGCCACATTGCAGATTGATGAACAGGATTTGATTAATACCATGAATATGGCATTAGTTTATTAATCAGTTTAAATCCCCTCCTGTTTGTTTAAGATATACCAATAGAAGCGCTAACGTGGAAATATCTACAGCACGGTAAAGGTAATGAAATCGAAGGTTCTCTTAAAGGTTTCCGTGATGTAGAAGCTATACACCTTTATATTAATTATTAAATTGTTGTGAGTTAGGTATTTAATGTCCTTTGAGCAAAACGCTAGTATTGAACTCTTACCTGTTCAGTAGCTGGGTCTAACAGGAACAGTTGCTTAGCCCGCCAATTTACAATCCATAAACCCTGAGGTGACCACACCATACCAGTTGCAGCTTGACCAGATAATGGTTCACCGGTCACAGTGGTATGAAGTGAACCATCTGCAGGATTTAGTACTAACAGACGGCTATTGCCTGTATCCAAAACGTAAATGAAATCACGAGTTATTGAACAATCATTTTGTGTAGCATTTGATGAGGCTTCAGAAGGACGAACAGGATAAGGTCCAAAAGCTACAGCGAACGGTTGAATCAATCCTCGACCGTCGGAGCCTATTTCACGAATTGAAGTAAAAATTCTTAATCATTAAAATATATAAAATAACTTGATAACCAATAACTATTAAAGAATGGTAAAATATAACTCTCCAGAACTTTATGTGATATCAGGCGCTTGTAGAAATCTTGTACATCTATAAAGAGTAAGGAGGTCAATGGAATGTAGACAACAAAGCTCTACCTTATTAAACTATAGAGCATAACATTACGCATAGACCTTAATAATTCACTTCAATATTGAACAAAAATGTCCGATATTCATATCACAAAAAAAGAATACACACTCACATAACATAATAATAAGGATTACATGCAAAAAATTTGTGATTATCTTAATTGTCCAACTACTGGATCACAAACAAATCCATAATGATTGCACTTATGAGTCAAGTATTTTACAATCGACTATTCATATATTATTAAGAATATTGACATGTAAATGGTTTATAAACTTCTGATGAAATTAAAGATATTTTTATTTTTATTATTGAATTCGCGAGTCGATTAAAGCTAAACTACAATGGAAAACCTGGAAGCACTAAACTGCCGTTTCGTCCTAGTATCAGACTCCTCAACAGTGCTCATCCACGATCTCACTTTCGGGAGCTGAACCCAGGACCTTCGGTCTCACGCGCGAAAGCATGACCTCTAGACCAGTGAGCCGGTATTTAATGATGTTAATGTCTAACTTCAACTAATCCACGAAATTGCGCCACCGTCAACTATTGTCTCCAGTGAGTTACTATCTCACAATGGTGGATGAGCACTGTTGAGGAGTCTGATACTAGGACGAAACGGCAGTTTAGTGCTTCCAGGTTTTCCATGGTGGTCTAGCTTTAATCGACTCGTGAATTCAACTATTAAATTACTACAATCTCCACAAAACCTTTTTCTGTAACTGATTAATCAAGCCTAAATCCGTAGACAATTTGTTTATAAGGAGATAATGATATTATTTAGGAGCTCAGACAAAAGTGATTGGAGTAAAGTTCGGAATGGTAAGTTATTGGATAGCATTTAAGCACTTTAAACATTAAATAAAGATTAAGGTACAACCCATGCTTAATTTTTTTCGTAAAATGTTACCTTGTGGTCCATAATCAAAGGTGACATTAATAAAAACAACAAAACAACATAGACCAGCCAAGGATAATAATTACTACAACAATGAAATATATATTATAATAAATAATAAAACAAAACTACTACGAAATAATGAAAATGTATGTTTTCGAAGGAAAACATGTTAATTTAGACTATAAATTCTTTAAAAATGATTACTTTTGACAACGAAGGAACGAAAGCTACCTGCTTTTCTATTTAACAAGTCTGTATTAGCAAGATTTTATTTATTTATTTATTATTAGAAGCTTTATTCAACATTATATTTTTGGTACAACATAGAATTCTCAGCATAAAGCATTTCAACAAGTTTCCTTTTCTTATACCTTGATCGATTGTGACGATAAATTTTGAATGATGACCAGTTAGATGTTAGAAGTTCGGTAATCCACATTTGATTACTGTTCATTCGTTTCAATGCATATTGCCAGCCACCATGATGTCGCTGATTGTACCTTTTTGTATCTCGTATAGCGAAAGGTTGTAAACTTTTCATAAACGCGCCTGAATAGGTTGTGCGCACAATAGACATAGTGATGTGCTAAAACAATCAACAAAACAGATAACTTGATGAAATATCTAGATCGGAGGAACAGGTAGCCCAGATATTCAAGCAGGCCGCCAGTATACAAATCCCGAATGCAGTTCTAACTACTTCATGCTCAAAATGTAATGGGCCGATTGGTTCATTTACAACCAATCAATCATAACTGACAGGTCGAGAATATACCAGAAGCTTCTACAATACGTTGTATGTAATACCATGTTTCCACTGCTCTATCTTTCGTTGCTCAGTTCGATTGGGATAACTATTGTTCCGCCTCAATTCTTGTTCTCATGTAGGACGAGTTGAGAAAGGTATAGTGTTCAAAGAATACTAGGTAGTACAGAATAAAACATCTAGTCGATCTGAAGGCAAGTAAAACCTTGATTAAAAGATTCATTAGGTCCATAAGAAGGGGACTTATTTAGATGTTCAGTAAATATTTTCACAGTATCCTTGTGAATTTGGTAACAAAAAAGTAAAGTACAATAATAAGCAAACCGAAAACAAGACAATAAACTTTATAAATAGGAAAAATGAAGGATATGCAGCGTGAAGAGATCGAATACAAGGAAAGTCAAATCGTGAGAACGCAAGCTTCAAATGTTTATGTTGCGTAAAGATATGAACAAACGTCCTCATGAAAGTGACTTATAAACTGAAATAATTAAGCATATTGAGTTGTACGAATATATCATGGATTAACGATATCAGAAATGAAAAAGCATATGTAGGGATTTCTTTATCGGACTATCAACTGAACTTTAGATGAGAACGTTAATTAATCAACCCAAAAAGTGATTCAGTATACTCCAAATAGCATGATACCAAGAAAGTATTAGCATATACATAAACAATAATAATACGTGAAAAAATTACCTTCTTTTAAAGACCAAATACGTTTTTGTGTTGGTTTTACATGAACACTGAAAGGTGAACCACGAATTGGTCTATTGAGAATTTTTACAGATAATTTATGAAGACCTGAAAATGGGGTAATCATGCTAACCTCGTAGCAACCATTTCCAATGTCTAATATATCAGTTGGGACTAAGTGACCTCGTGGTTCTGTAAAAGCAACTTCAATGGGATCTGTTCCACTGTTTGATTGAGGACGACCATGATAGTCAACTGCTTGAATAGTGCACTAAGAATAAAAAAGAACGCAGTGCGACATGAACAATGTATTCACTTCAAAACAGATCGTTAAAAAATCCCTCTCAATGAAGTTGTTTACAAAAACTGAACTGTATGCTTTGCTTATGAACAAATGTTAGAAGTCAATATTTTTTGAGAGACAATAAATGAAATTATCGTACTTAGTGATTTGAAGATATAATAATGTCGCTTATGATGTTTTTTGTAAATAAATATTTTTGTTAGGTATGGAAAATGTACAACTAACTGAAATAATTTCTATGCTCCAGACCACAGGATAGACGGAATATCCATTTGATAGTGCCTGCAAAAGAACATTCTGCCGTATTTTATACTAACACGATTTCAAATGAAACTTTAATGATCTTCTATATCAGAAAACCATTCTTCAGTATAATCACTTTAGGAATAATATAAAAAATTAGGCGTAAACACCATGGAAATCAATTAACACAATACAATAGTTGCTATCTACTTATCAAAATAAATGAATAATTAAGACTTGAGTAGATCGTAAGGGGATTTTAAAAATCAAGTTTTCTGGTATACTTTTACTAGATTATAATCTTTGATCATTTTGGTCTTATATACAGTAGAAAGGATTGTATACATGTTTGTAAATATCATAAGATCAAAATATTAAATTTCTGAGTTAAAAAATAAACTACCTTTGAAAACAACCTTAAAGAAAGCTCAAGTTTTACAACAGTCGATTGACTTAATAAAATCTTAGCTGTTATGCTCAAATAAGGTCACTTCAAAAATATGTACAAATTAACAGACCACAAAAATGTCTTTGATCTTTAGTCTTAGAAAAGAACACAAATATTACGTTTGTAGGTTGAAACTGTGCTCAGATTTTTTTATAATCTTAGCTAAATTATTCCAACTTAAACATGTACGTATCCGGAAATTCGAATAAAGGAAATAAACGAAATTTTTTAATAGAATAGTTTTATCATGTACGGGTCGGTCAATTCAAGTCAACATAAACACAGTAACAGTTCAGAGATGAAGATAAAAAAATGTTTCATGTCTGAAATTATTTATAATTTCAATGTCTGGTTATGTATGCTTATTCATCAATAGAAACAGAGCTGTCCTACGGAAATTGTGACTAGTAAAGAAGGAATTCTCAGGTGTCATAGATAATGACAGGAAATATTGGTGTGAGGAAAGAATGGTAAATATAATTTCTGGAATGTTTCTAATTCAATAATAGATTGAACATAGAGCATAAGGTTTGCTACAAAATATAGAATTGTAGAGAACAGACGTAGTAACACTTATTACCCCTTGATTAATGAAATCTATTGAATAAAGGAAGGCTCCAGCACTTAACACAAAACAACAATTATCGATCGTATTTAAATCATATTTCACTTACCGATAGGAAAACAAATATTAATAAGTCTGGTGGTTCTTTTAGGGTACTGGGTTAAATTTCGTGTGCACAGAGTAATCAATAGTCTAATATACGGGCGAAACAGCTGCTCAATGCTTTTTAGTTTTAAATAGTTTCCCACATGATATCGGTTTTAGTGAAAAATATCTCTAAATTATAGACTCTTTACAAACAATCTCTAATTTATCAATAATTTCTGTTTGGTCGCTAGTGATTAGCCTTAAAATAGACCTCTAAAAGTTGTAATTATAAGCTTTAATCTGCAAAGTTAGCGAAGTCGAAAACGAGATAGTAACGTGTTGATGACAAAAGTTTTATAATGCGAATCAATAAAAGCTCACAATATGGACCAGTAGATGACGAACTGGCAATCGGAAGGAAACGTGGTTGGAACTAAATTCGAAGGTCATTGCTAATGTTTGGTGCAACTTATTTATCGACTACATGATTTATGTGCTCAACTGAGACACAAGGTTTTTGTGAGGGCTGGTGATATTACCTGGGTACGTAAAGTGAAGTAGATGGAATGGTGTTCGAACATGTAATCTCCTGGTTGAAAGTCGAGTAGCTTCACCACTGAGCCCCACCCCTACTTAGGATTAAGTCTGGATGTTGTAGATTTAATCCCGTATGGGGTAGTGGGTCCACGATACTGACCACAGTAAAACTATAAACAAATAATTTTCTAGTGTATTTCAGTTTTTACTGGCCTTCTGTCTGGCATAGTTCGCAGTGAAAAATGTAGACAAAATCATCCTAATACGACAGCATATCATAAACGGTCATGCTACCCTTACACATGCCATCTACCTACATACTGCTATACCTGGAATTTTTTAAAAGGAAATAACTAATGTTTTAAAACGTAAGAATAATCCAGTTACTTTTCTATTCACGAAAGCGATAAAAATCTAGACAATAAGCAAGGTAGTGTGTGAATAATATGCGACTGGCCTTTTGAAGTATACTGACAATGACAGGTTTAAGACTAAACGTGTTATCAACTAGAATAATTATGAATAGGACGATAAAGTATCTCTTAAACTGTACATGAGTGAAAAGTTTACCTAGATTATAATCATGAGAATTGCTAGCAATGAGATGACAGCTTGATTTTTCAGTTATATAAAAATGAGCAAAAGCGTTTTGTACTACGTGGAACAATTATTGTGTATAGTGTAAAATATTGATGATTTAGTTTGATCCAAGTGATAATATTGTCAAGATTATTCTACTATACAGAACAAAATGTTCATAAACAGACTCAATAATTTTATTTATTTATTTATTTGAACATATAAATACTGGTACAAAGGGGCACCGAATACATATGCGCCACACAAATATCATTTGATATGTGTGAGGGCTGTGATACTACCCAGGTACCCAAACCGAAACAGGTGGTTTTCTTAGGGGCCACATCCCGAGCCTTCGGCCTGAAAGATCTGATCCACAAGGCAGTGGAGCAATGTCAGGAGATGCAGTCCCATGGTAGCCGGTGACCAACGATTGGTTCATACGCCATTTGTTCCTTCAGGATACTGGAGCCCATGTACAGTGGTGGGTAGCGAAAGCAAGAGAGATGGAAAAGGCAGCGGCAATAGGTAATGGCAGACAATTGTTCAGACTCGTTAAGGAAACCGGAATTAGGAACCCGACCGTTAGCGAAACAATCTCAGAGAAAGATGGACATATTATACATTCTCAATCCAGGAGATTGAATAGATGTGCAGAACACTTTAGGGATCAGTTCAACTGGCCTTCAGCCACACTTCGGTTTCCCACGATCTCCAGTCAACCTGAATGGCAGGTTAATGTAGGTCCTCCGTGTCATTACGAAGTTGAAAAAGCCATAGGAAATCTTAAGCAAGGGAGAGCAGCAGGCCCTGACAGGTTTACTCCTGAGATTTTTAAGGATGGTGGTCCAGTATTAGCAATGAGATTAACTGAGGTCTTAGGTAGAATTTGGGAACTGGACGTAATCCCATCTGACTGGTCTCAATCACTGATTGTGCCAGTCTATAAGAAAGGACAAAAGTCCTCTTGTGACAATCACAGAGGAATCAGTTTGACAAATATAGTGTCTAAAATATTAGCTTTAATAATACTTCAACACCTAACCAAAGCTCGTGAAGAACAGATTAGAGAAAATCAGGCTGGTTTTCGACCTGGACGTGGTTGTATAGACCAGATATTGACAATACGTCAGGTTCTAGAACACAGACACACATTCAGACACCGCACAATCGTAGTATTCCTCGACCTTAAGGCGGCATTCGACTCTGTCGATCGTGAGGTTCTATGGCAGTGTTTGTCACTGAAAGGAGTACCAAAGAAGTACATTAACTTTATAAAGGCTCTCTACTCGAACACAACTGGTAGAGTGAGAGCTTATGGCGAACTGTCATCAGAATTGATTACCTCAAGTGGTGTTCGTCAGGGCTGTCCACTCTCCCCATTCTTGTTCGACTTTGTCGTCGACGTAATTTTAGAGATAACACTCTCCTCATCTAAATTTACAGGGGTTGAACTTCCACTAGGAGGTTCACTTGTTGACTTAGAATATGCAGATGACATAGTTTTATTTGGTGAAGACGCTGACAAAATGCAGAGTCTTCTGACCACTCTAAGCAACAATGCAAGCATGTTCGGGATGCGATTCTCTCCCTCGAAATGCAAAATGTTGCTTCAGGATTGGGTTACATCGACACCCGAACTAGTGATAGGGAGTGAAGTAGTTGAGTGTGTCGACCGCTTCACTTATCTTGGAAGTCTCATCAGCCCTTGTGGTTTGGTGTGTGACGAAATCTCAGCACGGATACAGAAGGCTCGACTAGCTTTTGCCAACTTGCATCATTTATGGCGTAGGCGAGATATCCGTCTATCAACTAAAGGACGTGTTTACTGCACAGCAGTTCGTTCCGTCCTACTTTATGGCAGTGAAACATGGCCGGTAAGAGTGGAGGATATCCGTAGGTTACTAGTATTTGATCATAGGTGTCTTCGAAACATTGCTCGCATATCATGGGACCATCGAGTAAGTAACACAGTTGTTAGGAAACGGGTACTAGGTAAGGATGGCAAATCAATTGATGAAGTAGTGAAACTTCATCAGTTGAGATGGCTGGGACACGTGTTACGTTTGCCCTACGACCGACTGCCTCGACGTGCTATGTTCAGTGGTATAGGAGTAGGTTGAAAGAAAGCTAGGGGCGGCCAAACCAAAACATGGCACAAGTCCATGAAGTCACTGACAAGTGAACTGAGTCATGTTGGTAGGTGTAGACTACCTGGTTGGGGACCGCGAGATGACAGCAACCGATGGTTAGAGACCCTGAATGACATGGCTCAAAATCGTTTGCAATGGCGCAGGTGCATCCACTCTCTGTGTTCTCCCAAACTCTAATCTTCTGAATTCTTCATGTCCCTTTTTTCCTCTTTCCAAATTTCTTTCACTGGATTATACTCTTTAAATAACATCTCCAAACCCTAATCTTCCCGATTACTGCTTATACTCATATTACCTCTATCACTACGTGATTTGAATCGACAAGTGCATCTCTGTGCTAATGTGGTGTGGCAAC